AAAAAAAAAAAAGAAAGTAAGTTCTTTCTGGATCTAGTTCTTGCCCTGTACTTGCCACTCAGACAGGACAATATACTGTCTTATGGGATTGGATTCATCCCTTCATTCATCTGCTTCATCCTTTGAGAAAACCAGAAGATTTGTGCCTTATGTTGTTTGATTGAAATGTCATGGTCCCTTGTCACCCAAAGCTGTAAAATGTAATTGTATGTTAGAAATATACGAAGCTGGGCAGCACCTGTGGCTCAGTGGGCAGGGTGCCGGCCCCATATACCAAGGGTGGCAGGTTCAAACCTGGCCCCAGCCAAACTGCAACAAAAAAATAGCTGGGCATTGTTATGGGCGCCTGTAGTCCCAGCTACTTGGGAGGCTGGGCAAGAGAATGGCCTAAGCCTAGGAGTTGGAGGTTGCTGTGAGCTGCGATGCCACAGCACTCTACCGAGAGGAATAAAGTAAGACTCTGTCTCTATAAAAAAGAGAAAAGAAATACACTAAGCTGTGTGTCACTGTGAATTTACCAGGGGTAACTTCTACTTCACAGTTCAGACTTTCAGTTTCTGCCAATACCCTTAAAAAGATTTATCTAATTTTATTTATTTATTTATTTTTGAGATAAGATCTCATTGTCACCCAGTCTGGATTACAGTGGCACAATCCTAGCTCACTATGATCTCCAACTCCTGAGCTCAAGTAATCCTCCCGCCTCAGCCTCCCAAATAGCTGGGACTATAGGTGTGCACCACTAAAGCCTGTCCAATTTTTCTGGGGTTTTTTGTTTTTGTTTTTGTTTTAAGAGATGAGGCCAAAGTGCTAAGATCACGGGTTTGAACCACCAGTCAGCCTGAAAAGGTTTAATATCTCCTAAAATCAGCTTAACTAAAGAATTTTAGGCATGGCTACCTTCACCTGTATTTGTTTGTGAGGCTCCTAATAGCCAGCAGTCAAATATCTCCTGGTCGTCTATACTTATTGCTGTTTTTCATGTTTCCCCCCAGGCTGGAAGACCATCTCATTTCTCCCCAGGCAACCCAACATGCCAGAACCAGCTCCCCTCAGGCTCTGCCCAGCACTCATCAGGCAGACTACAAGGAGAGCAAGCCCAGCGCTCCTGGGGCCTGCGTCTCCTCTTCACATAAGAACCTTGGCAGCAAGCTGGGTCAGTTCTGGGACTGGTGATGTCTAGAATCTTTGTGAAGCACCAGGAGGTGCGGGCACATACCCTGCTCCTAGGAAGCCCTCAGGTCTCTGCCATAGCCCCGTGTCGGAGAGGCTCACAGGCCCCTAATACCACAGCCAGGCCAGTGGCTGGCTTGTCATATCCCCTGCTCGGAGTGCTGCCTTCCTTCCACATCTGGGAACTACTGGGGCAAGATCTCTGATTGGGGAAAGCCGGATTTGATGTGAAACTTGAGAGGAGGAATCTCTGGATTATGTAGATCAATGACCAAGGTCTTGATACCTCAAATTCTAGTGCTGAGGATGGCAGCCGCGTGTTATAAGGCTGGACCAAGTCAGAAACGTGTGACTGAGTACAGGCGACTCATCCAAATGCATTTTGAAACATCCAGTTGAGTTAACCAGACACCGATAGGAGATAAAAGTATTTTTTTAGATGCCAGAAAAAATACATATGCTTTGAATCAGAAATGTACTAAGTATTTT